TGTCACTGTCACTGGGACACAGAGCATTTAAATATTCTACAACTCTCCACTGACGCAGAGAACATTATAGACATGTTTGGTGCCTTTTCCTAGGTATATAAGAGGAGCTCACTCTTGAATCTCATCTCACATTACGTCTCAAATAATACTATGATTTCTTGGACAATTTTAATAATACTATGTCCGTCTCTATTGACATAATCACCGTTTTTGTATTATACCAAGGCCATGGGTTCTGTCTTGGAACTTTAAGGACCTCTCCAGTAGACAGCCTGTAAGTGGGGGTGAATGAATCTCCCTTGAACAAAGCCATATTACACTTTCACTACTGTATATCACTAAATTACGTTCAAATCAGATAAATCCGGCATACAGTTGTGTTTATAAAAAACTATTTCCTAATCTGCCAAGCTCGGTTCCACCACATGCAATCAGAATTCACAACTCTGCGCTTTCATATGACCTTACCAACTTTTGTCTTCCCCACCCTGGCAGATGGTGACACCAGAGGTTGACCTTACCAACTTCTGTCTTCCCCACCCTGGCAGATGGTGACACCAGAGGTTGACCTTACCGACTTTTGTCTTCCCCACCCTGGCAGATGGTGACACCAGAGGTTGACCTCACCGACTTTTGTCTTCCCCAACTGGCAGATGGTGACACCACAGGTTGACCTCACCGACTTTTGTCTTCCCCACCTGGTAGATGGTGACAACAGAGGTTGACCTCACCGACTTTTGTCTTCCCCACCCTTGCAGATGGTGACACCAGAGGTTGACCTCACCGACTTTTGTCTTCCCCACCCTGGCAGATGGTGACAACAGAGGTTGACCTCACCGACTTCTGTCTTCCCCACCCTGGTAAATGGTGACACCAGAGGTTGACCTTACCGACTTCTGTCTTCTCCACTCTGGTTGATGGTGACACCAGAGGTTGACCTCACCGACTTCTGTCTTCCCCACCCTTGCAGATGGTGACACCAGAGGTTGACCTTACCAACTTCTGTCTTCCCCACCCTGGCAGATGGAGACACAAGAGGTTGACCTTACCGACTTCTGTCTTCCCCACCTGGCAGATGGTGACACCAGAGGTTGACCTTACCGACTTTTGTCTTCCCCACCCTTGCAGATGGTGACACCAGAGGTTGACCTTACCAACTTTTGTCTTCCCCACCTGGCAGATGGTGACACCAGAGGTTGACCTTACCAACCTTTGTCTTCCCCACCCTGGCAGATGGTGACACCAGAGGCTGACCTTACCGACTTTTGTCTTCCCCACCCGGCAGATAGTGACACCAGTGGATGACCTTACCAACTTTTGTCTTCCCCACCTGGCAGATGGTGACACCAGAGGTTGACCTTACCGACTTTTGTCTTCCCCACCTGGCAGATGGTGACACCAGAGGTTGATCTTACCGACTTTTGTCTTCCCCACCCGGCAGATAGTGACACCAGAGGTTGACCTCACCGACTTTTGTCTTCCCCACCTGGCAGATGGTGACACCAGAGGTTGACCTCACCGACTTTTGTCTTCCCGACCTGGCAGATGGTGACACCACAGGTTGACCTTACCGACTTTTGTCTTCCCCACCCTGGCAGATGGTGACACCAGAGGTTGATCTTACCGACTTTTGTCTTCCCCACCTGGCAGATAGTGACACCAGAGGTTGACCTCACCGACTTTTGTCTTCCCCACCTGGCAGATGGTGACACCAGAGGTTGACCTCACCGACTTTTGTCTTCCCCACCTGGCAGATGGTGACACCACAGGTTGACCTCACCGACTTCTGTCTTCCCCACCCTGGTAGATGGTGACACCAGAGGTTGACCTTACCGACTTTTGTCTTCCCCACCCTGGTAGATGGTGACACCAGAGGTTGACCTCACCGACTTCTGTCTTCCCCACCCTGGTAGATGGTGACACCAGAGGTTGACCTTACCGACTTCTGTCTTCCCCACCCTGGTAGATGGTGACACCAGAGGTTGACCTCACCGACTTCTGTCTTCCCCACCCTTGCAGATGGTGACACCAGAGGTTGACCTTACCAACTTCTGTCTTCCTCACCCTGGCAGATGGTGACACCAGAGGTTGACCTTACCGACTTCTGTCTTCCCCACCCTGGTAGATGGTGAGACCACATGTCGATCTTACCCTCACCATACTCAAAAAGTCTTAAACAAATCCTTTGGCATTCCACCAGGAATACAACCAGTTGCGTTCCAAGTATATAACACCTGAGAGGGACTCACATTATGAAACAACAAATCTGAAAACCTTTTTCCCATTGCATCTGCATCTCAATGAGAGAAAATGATGTATATCATAAATTGTAGCTGTGTAATGGGTAAGATAAATTGCTTATTTTAAAGTATTTTCTGTTTGTCAATAATAGTGTAATGAATAAATATATATTTCAAGAAACTCATTTAAACATTGTGTTTAAAATGTGTAAGTGTGCAGACTATATGGGTGGAATAACGTTCATACGACGTAACATTTTGACTCACAAACACACTCATTTTTGCTGCCATTGTTATACCTTTGCAGTAGTTTGTATTAAATTATAAACTTTCAATACAATGGTTGATTGTATTTCATTCTTTTGTTGTTTGTTGGTATGAAACTGGGTTCTTTTACTAACAGATTTAACTACTGCATTAGTTTCAACTTGGGAATCAATATAATACGTGAAGCATTGAAATAATTAATTCGATTTGACGACTATAGTGTTTCAGGTTGGATGATCAACATCATTATTTCTACCGTAATCGATGCAGATACTTACTCTTTTATGAAGCGAAAAAGTTACGGGAACATCCTAATGGATAGAGATATGTCTTAATTGACGAATTTTCGAGATAAGATACTTAAATTTTGCTCTTCAACAATCTGATCTTCAGGCACTCTACGACCAGTTCCTAAACTCCTGCATGACTGTTTTGATTTTTCCATCACAAGGGATCAATATTTCCTATCATTATCAATGAAGGTTCTTTGTAATAGTATTGGTTCACATTTAATCATTGCTTATTTAAAGGAAATTGAAATAAATCGAGAGATTGTGATCAACCCAAATTGTTCTTGACTATGCCCTTGATGGGGGCTGAAGTACCATACCATTATCGCCCTACCTAGTGGGTATGTAAGTCCATGTCTCTTAAGATATGTTTGTGTCTACCTTTTTTTTTATCGAAGTATTTTTGTTCTTTTAAGTGACAGCTTAATTCGAGTACAATCGCTGATGTGAGTTAATATCGTAACTCACTCACCCCCTCGCTTTGTAATTACAATGTGTTATTTAACGCAGTCGACAAGTCAATGAGTTAAAATGTTACATTGCAGTGGCAAAATTACAGTAATGTAGGAATGAAATCAGAAAGATATGTTTTCCCGCGTGGGCGGGTATCTCAGTGTTAACTAATTGAGGGAAGTTGACCAGTATCCTAAATTGTAACAATATAATGTGAATGACGAATTGCAAGTATTAACTTTTGTGATATGACTTTTTTCTGTTTGTAAATAAAAAGCATTGAATAAATATGTTTTTTTATTTTTGAAAAACCCTGATCAGTTAAACTTTGTACTTAAAATGTTCATTTATGCAGACCTGGTCTCGTCGCTACATACGAAGGGGCAAGAACCAGCACGGAAAGGTCGTTATCGATAGATTTGTCTTGTATTATTACACCAACTTCTAAATGCCCTTGAAGAATGTCGTCGATGTATGGCTGAAATAATGCCGATGCGACGTAAAACGCAACAACTCAACTCATTTCATATAGCAATGAAAACAATATATTCATATTTAAAGGTGTGTCGACCAAGGACAACTAGACTGTGGTGTATGTCATAGTTTAGAATAACTCAAAACAAATGACAGTTATATAACCCCCCTTAATTAATACCTATGAAAGACCAGTAACCAAACTGAGACCACCTTACTGGGGATCATGAGGACTTACAGAGCCCTTCCTTCCTGTGTCACTTCCCAGCAGCATTTAGACCGACCCTCACGTTGATCAATGATGGACTTACTTGAGTTGTACTACAGTTGTAGCTCCCAGAATCGAACCTCCATCAATAACCACAGATCATACATAATATTTTAGTTACTTTACAACACACGCAAGCTAATCAAAATTTATCTAGTGGTTCTCTTTCTTTGACGAAGCAAACATTTTAGGAACTTTGATTAAACATTCCCACTTTTAAAATCAACAACAAAATGGACCCATCTATTGATTCATTTAGAACCCTGAACATTTATCAATATCTATTCCAAAGAAAGAGATTACAAAAAGCTGTCTTGCACTCACTGGACATCACATAATTCGTTGTAGTAAAAAATGTAAGTAATAAAAATCGGTCATTCACAGGTCTCAAATTTAACTGGTTCTCGAGGAACCATAAGATAAAGGGACAAACTCTGTTCCTTCGTGCCATGGAATGATTAAACTTCCATGAAGCCATAGTTCCCGTCTACCTTTCTCTGACTTTAATTTTGAAGGTTGAACTGACATATTAGTGAGTTAAAAAGTAAAATTGTCAGCCATATAGCGACATTGGCATATAAGACCTTCACTGATTGAATACTCTTTTCTGAATGTTTTTGTTTTCAAAGAACAACCTTTCAAATAATAAATGGACAAACACATATGTAACGAAACTGCACCAAGAGAAAAACTTGTACTGTCGTCATGCATTGTTGAATTCATTGTGAACTTCTGTTATTATGCTCGATGACAGATGCTCATGGTGTTATCACTGGATTGTCTGGTCCAGATTCAAATATTTACAGGCTACCATCATATAGCTGGAATACTGGAGTACGAATCAGCACGGTGTTAATCACCGGATTGTCTGGTCCACACTCAAATATTTACAGGCTGTCGTCATATAGCTGGAATACTGGAGTATGAAGGAGCACGGTCTTATAACAAGCCAAGATTATCTGTCACGAAGCGAATATCAGTGACTGGCATAAGGCAATAGATACTTACCTGTATAATACTGCCAGCCTGCCTCTTGTTCACCCCCAGTGATGACGGATGAATAGTACAACCGGCAACGTTGAGACGCTGGATTGTGCAGTACCATGTTGCACTGCAGATCATGGAAACACCACCACAAGCATGCAGGTTTGTCAGAAACACTGCGTTCAGTGATGAAGGTGTCATTGAACATTTGTCCGTCCAAACTTCTATGATGGTTAAATGTCAAAATGTGACATGACTGTAAACCTGAGCTGTAAGTCATGGTGATGGCAAGAGCTACCTGAACAAATTCCCACACAACCATCCTCATGTTGCAAGTTTCTAGAATAGTTCTCTGTAGTTAGTGAACGGGAGAATATTAACAGCTCAATGTGTTAATTGGTGGTATGACACCAGTATTGCCTACACGCTCGGTTGCGTTGTAAACATATTAATTGGCTGAGTGCACCAACCAATCACTGACAAAGTGATCCTGTGACTATCTTTAAGGAGCGGCTGTTTGAGATATGAATTATATATCATAACACAATGCCATTTATATAGTGGTAACATATACTCTCCCAAAAAAGAAACGCATATAGGAAATTCAACTGTATTTTTATGTTTATTTTGAAACATCTTGTAGGCTTTATGAGTCAATGAAATATAGCGAAATTGCACACTGAGAATGCAGACTTATCCGTCTTTGGCACCAACTCGAGGAAAGTCAGTTTGAGTGTCACATGGAGATGTGTGGTGGCGCTGAAGTCAACACCTCGTGTTACCATCGGGGGCATCCAGAACTGCACGTCATTGCCTCGGCATTGAACGAATAAGTCTCAGAATCTCGTGTTGCCCAATCGCAGCCCACTCTGTCTGTAGTGCCTGTGCGAGTTGCTGAAGTGTCTGGGGCTGAGGGTTACGGCGTCGCACCCGTCTGTCCTGGGCATCCCACAGATGCTCGATCGGGTTTAAGTCCGGTGATATTGAGGGCCGGCACATTGATGTTGTGGTTCTGGAAGAAGTCTCTAGTGTGACGTGCTGTGTGTGGCCTGGCATTGTCCTGTTGAAACACCTCCCTCTGTCGATCATTGATTGGAAGGAGGTGTGGGAGTAGGTTTTCGTTACAGTACCGTTGAGCTGTCAGGTTGCCCTGGATCATCACCAAATCACTTCTCCTACGGCAGGTGATCTCTCCCCACATCATAACACTTCCCTGGCCGAATCTGTCCACCTGGGGAACGCAAGCATCGGCGAAACGTTCACGTCGACGTCTGTACACCCACCATTCTGCCATCGCTTCATTCCAATAGAAATCGTGATTCATCACTGAACCAGATTCTACGCCATTTGCAGAGCGTCTGTTTCTGTGACTCTTTTCACCCGCTTTTCCATAGCTTAAGATTTTAACTTCTGCCGGGGCCGTCACTTCTCAACAACCCACTAACAACCCCTCCTCTAAAAAGCCAACTCGCCACTTCAAATTCACTTCCTTGAGCGATGGACTGGTTGCGTTTGCAAAAATGTTTTTGTAATTGTCATGGAACCAAAATCGTGTATATCCGAAATGCCATCTTAAATAACAGATAATTGCGGATTAATTCATAACAGAATGTTTACGCAAAAGCATCACTTATACATATCGGTACAATTATTTACTTCCATACTTCCACACTTACTTTCTGTGTTCTTCGTAACACATCGCACACTCCCCACACCTTTCCTTGCAAAGGTGGTCACGTGATCACGTTTCACTCACAAATTCCAAGAAAGCAATCGGAACGTTTGACGTTGTTCATAGATTCCTCGTGATATAGTAGCGCTGTTTATTGTTTTTGCATTCTGAACCAATCCTCCCTTTCCGTAAACTGTTGAGGCAACACACTGTCACCAACAATGCTGGTCTGCCCGCCTCTTCACCTCAGTGCTTCTGACACACATATACTGAGAGAAACAAATATGGGATAGCATAAAATTTCAGATGTTAATCACGTCAAACATAACAGAGTTGATTCATTGTTTTCAGTTTAAATAAAGAAAAGTTGTATCGAATATGTCCCGGATGTCTTCTCGGAACTGTCTGGCAACGCCTGGGCATACTTCCAATCAGTGCTTATTGTATATATTATAGGTCAGGGTATAGACCCGATCCTTTATTTTTGTCCGATGGTGCAAGTTTTAGTACAAATAATCAAGCAGATTGAAACATAGACACTGCTAAGTATTTTCCGACATTAATGTTAGTCGGTCCTGCTGTTACAATTGTAAAGGAAGCCAAATTCATGGATAATATTTTCCTTCATCATTTTGCTTTTCGGCCTCATATGGCATACTCAAAGAACAAATTCCAGAAGGCTCTCTATATCTTACAAATTGTTTCAAAATTAAAATATATAGAGAGGATCGGAAAACCAACCTCCAACATAACAGAGCGTTTCTAAACAGAGGTACATAATATGTATAATAATGGTCCTTTAAATTTCCCCAAAATTGAATGCTATCTTATCCCAATTGAACAGACCGACGCTCATGCAGTAGATCACTTGATTGCCTGGTCCATTATGAATATTGATGAGTATTGTATAAGCTATTTGGTCATAGAGCATCCAGCAGCTCGGTAATTGAATCATGTGTCGTGTCAAAAATGCGCACAATAAATGTCCACGTACATTATTGTTTAACCAACTATCATTAAAGTAATCAGGATGGTTGAAAAGACATCGCATGAGTCTGTATTAGTGTGGATTTCACTAAATATACTGCCTTAAAGCAACGTTATTCATATGTGTATGTTACATATATATGTATTAGAACACAAGCTGATACTCAGATGAACACACATATTGATTAGTATTCACCTGAAGCAGTTGGGCTACACAATCATAGATATCTATTTTAAACCTTGTAGACTGACTGACTGAGTTTAGTTTCACACCGCTTTTAGCAATATTCCAGAAATATCACGGCGGGGGACACCAGACATGGGCTTCACACATTGTGCCGGTGTGAGAAATCGAACCCGGGTCTTCGGCGTGACGAGCCAACGCTTAACCACTAGGCTACCCCACTGCCCCAAACCTTGTAGAAAACTTGGTACATTACAGTGCAGTGTATGAGAAGGAATTTACCTGACCTTCTTATAAGATGACCCCCACATATGTAGGCTTATGTGGAATATACATCATAATATTATTAATACGGGTTTTAGTATCGAAAACGTGCACAAACAATCCAACGCCGAGTTAGTGAATGAGTGTTGTTAACAACCTGGTCAGCCATGTTATTGGTAGCGCTCTGTAACAGAAGCTTAACTCCAGTCTTCAATAGAGTGAGTGAGTGCTTTCCCGCCTTATACCATATACAAACAATCTAGTGGTCGAGTGCGTGAGTGAGTGAGTGTATCTGCCAGAGTCAGCAATGATATATGCGATGCTCTGCAACAGAACCTTGTTCAAATAATCTAGTGGTCGAGTGCGTGAGTGAGTGAGTGTTTCTGCCAGTCAGCAATGATATAGGCGATACTCTGCAACAGAACCTTGTTCAATCAATCCAGTGGTTGATATAATGAGTGAGTGAGTGTTTCTGCCAGAGTCAGCAATGATATGGGCGTAGCTCTGCAACAGAACCTTGTTCAAACAATCCAGTGGTTGATATAATGAGTGAGTGTTTTTCACCATAACCAACAAGATTGTGTGTACTGAAAGAGTTTATGGATCAGACCAGTTATCAATCGCTACTTTTCTTCTTTCATGCAAAGACCATCCGTGGTCTAGTGGTTAGCGCGTCCGCCCGGTGCGTGGAAGGTCCCGGGTTCGATCCTCGGCCGCGTCAAACCAAAAAACGTTGAACTATGGTACTTGTTCTTCCCTGCCTGTTGAGCACTATTTTTCCACAGTGTCAAAGTAAAATCGTTTATAGAAACATTCAAAATGTGATATGAACATGGATGTAAGTACAAACAAAATAATTGAAATCACATTTCTACTTGGATATCCTAATCAAAACATTGATCTTAAAAAGTATGTGTCCAACATGTATATATATTTACCACTGTACATGTATGACAAAAAAATACATTTAGAACTATATTTAGAACATCTATAAAAAGTGTTTAGACAAAACTATGCTATTTTATGAACTACATTTATGGCCAAGTCAATCCATACGTTCTACGAAAATGGACTAATTGCTGAATGTTCTGGTGTCATTTATGTGTTTGTATGGCATCAGATGATAACATAAATCACCTGATCATTTCCATCACCTTAAATCGCTTGCCCGGTGGCCGTGGCAAGTACATTTCATGTTGTATTTCCCTTGATAAGCCGTGGTCCTGTTGTTGTATTTTAATTGAGTTCTTGGAGAGTTAAGTCAGGGCCAGCAGCTTCTAAAGTCTGTAGGTCCTCGTGGCTCAATTGTATTCTAAATAGTGCCGCTTCCTTTTGATACACTGGTTTTGGGGGGTCTGTCTATATAGGTCGTCCGATGGGATAGCCGTGTGGGATATACACTGCGAAAGTAATATTATAATTGGTAGTATATAAAACGTTTCAAAATAATATGTTACGAACACATTCCCGTTACACATAAAAAGAAATCCACGCGAACATGAACTCACACACTTTCCGCAATGCCTTTGAGATTCGTGATAAGTCTGTCATACACACCCTGAAACAGACATACCCATTGCAGCCCAGGAAAGTCTACAAGATGTGGCAAGTCTAGATCATCACAGCCTATGAAAAGGAAAAACATATCTTTTTATTTTATTTTATTGATATGGTTGAGAAACTGTTATTATTTTCTGTAAATAAGATCATTTCAAAGATCAGATGTTAGGTGTCTGGTTTTGAAAGTCCTATGTTTTGCCACTAGGTACTGCCAGGTCGGTGTATTGTATCCGTAAACACATGTAAGCTACAGGTTGTTTGAAGGAACAATTGCTCTCTAAATAGATATGTATAAAAATATATATCCTGTATACAAGCTGCATATCTTTACATAAGTTGATAAGACTGCAATTGTTCCCCTTCTTATTCACACGAACAATTTCAACCAGCTTTGTTAATGTTCCTGTCTTGTATGTTCTGTATAATTTTCCTTCCCCCTACAAGTCCTCCTCCCCCCCCCTCCCACACACACATCCTTACCCCAACGCCCCTCCTCCCCCTGAATACCACAGGACAAGTACGCACATGTCCATCGGTCCTCACTTTATCACTGAATGAACAAATTTCGTGTGCGTTTGTCTTTACACTAGAACATAGACTAGAGCTTGCAATATTTCCCAAGCAAGACAGATTAATTAGACATACAGGTGAATGCATTGATATGGTCCGTCTGAATTGAAGTCTCAGATAGGGTAATCTATTAAATTTTATTACTTATCTTAACAGTGTTACCGCCACACATACATGGCTCAGTTTGAAGGATGGCGGAGTTATACCCCTTTCTTTCTGCGTGTTTTACACCTCTCTGTCGTGTTTTCATTGGAGAAAATGATGAAAAGTCAGTTTTTTTGTTTGTTTTCATTTCGAGTATGTGAGAAATACTTGACCTTGAAATCCGTTTGATATATCATCAGTCTGTTTAGAAATCT